TACAGTAATATGAAGGGAAAAAAGCACGGCAAAAGTAACGCAGAGTTTTTCAATGCACAAGATCGACGGTGCAATAGGAAAATACAGTTCGAAGCAATATTTTACAAATAAGCAAATATTTTTTTTTTAAAAAAGGTTTAAATGAACTGAGAAATTATAATAAAACAAAACTCATGAAAAATATTCTCAACTTACCCCCAAAACATAAACAAAGCCATTAGAGTAACAAGAAGAATGACCACATCTTTCAGAAAGATGAACAGCCATCACCTTTGGATATAACCACATTCTCAGAATTTATAAGTAAAATGTCGTCAAAGCTAGACTACTCACATCGATGAAACCAAACAACCAAGTGACCCTTTTCGCTTTCTTTGTTTATTGTTGGTGTTGTCGAAATTACAAGCAGAACGTGTACTGGTATATATATTAGGCCACGAGTACCTCTATACAGAGTCTATTAAGTTTATCTAGAAAGGAAGAGGAATGCATGCAGTGCAGAAAATTGTCAGCTAGAACCATGTAAGAACTCCCAATGAACAAACCCTGCCACACACGTCCGAATATCCTGCTGTTGAACTGTAGGAACAAAATATGCCATCATCTTCTAGCAGCCGCTTAATCTTCTTAGTGAGATATATATCTTACAAAGAGAGAAATGCGGAATGAAGCTATACACAGATAAGAGACAATGCACATCAAACAGAAGATCAATGTAATTATCTTATCAATCACTGTACAGGATTAAGAGATATTTAATTAAAAAATATACTATCAAACTTTTAAAGAGCATCTAATAGATCTATCATAATTAATTCTATTGAAGGATACTACTCTTTATATAGGTAAAGGATGTGGGTTGCCATTTATTCAACCAACATGGAGGTTCAAAGTCAACAGGATCTCCAATTTCGCTTGTCAATTTGTTGAATACATACCCAATCCCACCATGGACAGCACTCTATGCAGAAAGAAAAATACATTGCATATTAACAAGATGGTGACATAGCAAACATAACACACACACATACACGCCCCCAACGGTAACGACCCGGGCCGGTCGTTTTGAGCTCTAGCACGTCGTTCGGCGGTTTGAGGCCTTGAGTAGTTTCACTTCAGGTATTATAACTTGTACGCGTGGTCGGAATTGAATTTGGGGAAGTTCAGAGTTGATTTGGAAAGAGAAATCTAATTTCGGAAGCCTTAAGTTGGAGCAATTGACTAAAGTGTGATTTTTGAGTAAACGACCTCGAACTAGGATTTGAAAATTCCAACAGGTTCGTATGATGATATTGGACTTGCACGTATGTCTGAATCGGGTTTTCGATGACACGGGAGCGTTTCGGCGCCTATTGTAGAAGTTGACATTTTGGAAGAATTTCATAAATTTGGGTTGAAGTGTATTTCAATGTAATCGATGTCCGTTTGGGATTCTGAGTCTGGGGATAGCTCCGTAAAGTGATTCTGGTATTGGGAGCGCGTCCGGATGTGGATTTGGAGGTCCGTAGGTCATTTTGGGGTCATTTGGGGAAAGTTAAAAATTTGAAGGTTTTTGAGAAGTTTGACCGGGAGTGAACTTTTTGATATCGGGGCCAGATTTCGATTCCGGAAGTTGGAGTAGGTCTGCAATGTCGAATGTGACTTGTGTGCGAAATTTGAGGTCAATCGGACGTAATTTGATGGGTTTCGACATCGAATGTAGAAGTTTGAAGGTTTAAAGTTCATTAAGTTTGAATTGGGGTACGATTAATGATTTTGATGTTATTTAATGTGATTTGAGGTCTCGAGCAGGTCCGTGTTATGTTATGGGACTGGTTTGTGCGATTTGAACTGGGTCCTGGGGGCCTCGGGTGTGTTTCGGGGTGGTTTCCGATCATTTCGGACTGTTTTGGACTGTTGTTGCTGGTGTCTGGTATCCTTCTTCGCGAACGCGAAGGAAGTCCCGCGTTCGATTGTGAGGATGCTGGGTTGGCCTTCGCGAACGCGGCCAAGGTGACGCGAACGCGAAGAAGAAAGGGGGAGATGGGCCTAAGGCCATTTGGCCTACGCGAACGCGTAGAAGGGAACGATAACGCGAGGGGTCTAGGCAACTGGCCTTCGCAAACGCGATCAGAGTGTCGCCAACGCGAGGGATGTACCGTGTTCGCGAAGAAGGGTCGCCTGGGCAGTGAAGTTTTTAAAAGACGGGATTTGATCATTTTCCTCCATTTTTCATTTGGTTGGGCGATTTTTGGAGCTCTTGGAAGAGAGATTTTCGTCATATATGTCAAGGTAAGTGATTACCACCTATTGCAAGTTAAATACTTGGATTATATAAGAATTTAGACTTGAAAATTTGTGAAAATTTGGGATTTTGAAGAAAAACCTAGAAATTGATATTTTTGGATTTTGACCACGAATTTGGGTATGAAATTGAGAATAAATTATATATTTGAGTTTGTAGTGCTATGGGTAGTGTTTGTCTTCGAAAATTTTCGGAATCCGGGCACGTGGGCCTGAGGGTAATGTTTATTGACTTTTCGAGCGGAGTTGAAAATTGTTGTAAATTGAATTATAATGAGTATTAGAGTACATATTTATGGATTTGCACCCTTATTGGCTAGTTATAGAGCGATGTGCATTGTTTTGAGTAGTTGGAAAGACATTGGAGCTGGTTATGGGATTTCGGAGCGAGGTAAGCCTCCTTTCTAACCTTGTAAGAGGGAATTAACCCACCTAGGTGAATCAAATTATTATGTGCTTCTATTTGTGGGGGCTGCGTATACACGAGGTGACGAGAATCCATGCGTAGCTACTATTATGCTTATGTCCGGGTAGTCTAGGACCCATATCATGTTGTTCTTGCGATGTCTGCGCCCTACTTGTTAATTTAATCGTTTAAAACATTTAGAAACTCGAGAGAGGAATTGTAAAAAGGTTAAACTTCATTTACTTGACCGTTAAATGAGAATTTGAAATTCTTGCAATATTTTTCCCTTAATAAATCTTGAATTGGTTGTCTAATGTGTTTTCTCTTTTGTGGAGCGGGCCGAATGCCTTGGTAGCAGATAGATGCATCTATGGTTCGCGACGTTCGACCCTCGACAATGCACAATTTAAATATTTATGTTGGATCGGGTCATACGACCTCGACATGATTTTCGCATGATTGAATTGGTTGCTTTAGAATTTATGATAATTGATATTGCTTCGCTGGCCTGAGATACAAAATGATAAACGATGAAAAATAAATTTGGAGATTTCTTATTAACAAAAGAATAGTTTACTTATTTCATGATATTAAGCTTATAGCCGTTCTACGTCATTCATACTTACTTATATCATTGGTATTTTATTTATAACTTATAGTAAGTGTCGGAGTCGACCCCTCGTCACTACTTCTTCGAGGTTAGGCCGGATACTTACTGGGTACGCGTTGATTTACGTATACATACTACACTTGCTGCACATTTTTGTGCAGGTACATATATGTGTAGTGACCTTCTGGGCACGCAGTTATTGCGGGGACTTAGGTGAGCTGCATTCTATACTACGATCCGCAGCTAGCAGAGTCTACTTCAGAGTATTTATATTTCTCCTGTCCAAATTTGTATTCCGGACAGATGTTGTATTTTATTTTACATTTCTAGTTGAGCCTCATGCACTTGTGACACCGGATTTTGGGGTGATTATAGGTTGTCATGTATTAAAATTGTTAAAAATATTATTATTTACTCAGTAAATTTCATCTTTTACTATTTAATTGAAGGAAATATGATTTCAAAAAAATATTAAAATGAGAACCAAATTAAGTATTTATTTTCGGCTTGCCTGACAGCGGTGTCCGGCACCATCACGACTTTTAATGGATTTTGGGTGGTGACACCAACAGACTTCATAAGAGAAGCGAGACTTATATTTTTACACTAATCCTAAGAACAAATAAATTTAGGGGTGAAAGACAAAGAAAAATGGGAAATTATGTTCCCAATTTTCTTTTTTCCTTGTGCGTTGGGAGGGAATGGGAATCTAGAGGACACTCCTTTTGGAAGAAGATTTAAAAAAGAAAAAGAAAACACTGTTTTTCGTTTAACATTAATTGCAGAGCCTAAATGAAAATATGCTGAAGAATTAATCAAAATAAACAAAGAAAACTGAGATTATTGCTAATATTGCAGTCAAATTTGAAGTATACATAGTTAATTGTAGCTATTGACAAGAACAAATTTATATGTATAGTTCGTCAAAACTTTTGAACTCTATCAAACAAATTATTTGTTATATTGTTCACTTTTGAAACCCACATGTAGGTTGCAGCAGCTACCAGTTTTTCGTGACTGATTCGTTTTGCACTACTCATCAAATAAATATCGACTAATAAGCTTTTTTTATTTATCAAGAACTATTTCAGAAAAAGCCAGAGATGCAACCTATTCTCAGTAGATAACCATGATCTTGTTACATAGATCCTTCCAAATTAAAATAATGCTAGTTGCATATAGCGATCATCAATAATGAGAGAAAATTCATCGTATAGAACAGCACCAAATAAAAAACTGGTAAAGCACAACTTTATATGTAAATCAGACCAAGATTCTAAAAACCTTACCTTTGGATCAGGTGCAGAAGCTTTGATATTCATGAAGAACGTCTTATATGTTCGCATGGTAGAACAATTTGCTTAAGCTTCAGGTAAGATCTGATCGTGTATGTAAATTTGATCTGAGATGTACTGATGTACACAGAGTACCAAAGCAGTAAGTTGAAGAGATTTCATTTAACTTTTCATTGTGACCAGTAGCTCCATAAAGCATCATTAACATCATGTTCTACTGGGAAAAGAGTAAACTGATGTTTTCCTTTCTATTGGAAAACGGAAAGAAAACAGAAACATAAACCAATAGAAGAAACGACTCACGAAATGCAAAATAGAGATTACCAAACGACTTCAATGTAAGAGAATTCACACTAATTTGACAGTTCACCCTCTTCGTTTGGCACTCTCTCTTTTACTTCTGAAAAGTATTGAGAAGAAAAACAAAGTCTCATGAAAGTAGGAGTTAGAGATCGATAAAAGCTACAAAGCAATTCAATTCTATTTTGTCCATGTTCAGATGTACCCTACAATATTATTTTTGTGGGATGTAAAGCATAAAAATTATTACATGGCATCAGTTAATTGAACGCTTTTTGAATAACTTCATCATAAACTATGTTATACGTTGAGTGATCATCCTCGGTGTCTGATGTCAGCGGTCGAATTAATAGTTTCATGCCTTCTGAACTTTTAGCTCTTGATAAAGCTTAACATAAAGTTGACCATGGGAAAAAACTGGTTCGCGTAAATAAATTCCAATGAAATCCAAAGTTTGACCTTGAGCTTTATTTATAGTCATAGCAAAGCACAATCGTACTGAAAATTGTGTTCTTTTAAAAGCAATCGAAATTTTTTCATCTTGTGATACTAATATTGGTATTCTTGGAATAAAAACATGTCTTTTGAAAATCACCACTAGCAATTTTGCCACTTATAACATGTGTTTTAAAACTACAACATGTTAACCATGTGCCGTTACATAAACCTTCACAGGGCCTTAAATTTCGTAGTAACATTACCGGACAATTTTCTTTTAATGTCAATATATAAGGAGGCAAACCAGCAGGGTTTAAAGTATGCAAATAATCTTCGAATTGACTTTAGTCATTCAATTCAACAGTTTCATCAATTGCAACAAATGTTGTAGCATCTTTTGGGAATTTATATATGAGCATATCATTTATTTCATGAACAAAATCATTTTTTGTTGTCAAGATCACACGAGAAGCTATGGAGGAAGAATCGTCAAATAAGAAATCTTTATCGGGATATGTTACCTCAAATAACTCATTCAAGGATTCTTCTTCAGTGGTAAAAGGAATGATTAAAGAGTCAGGAATTTGAACTTTATGCTGGGCGTCAAGTCTTTCTTTTCCATTTCCAATTCTCATCAAGTATTCACAGAAGGCGGGATTTGTTCTTGCACGCATATTCTCTGACAGCTGTAGTTTTTCTAGCTGATTCCAAATTTCAGAGTATAGTAAACTTTCAGAAATGAAATCTTCTTTTCTCCCATTTCAAACAACTGAAAGAGTTTGTCTAAAATCACCTCCAAAAATAACTACTTTCCCACCAAAGAGCATCTTAATATCCATCAGATCCTTCAAAAGTAAATCAAAAGCTTCAATCGTTTTCCCTTTAGCCATTGATGCCTCATCCCATACAATTAATTTTGCGTTCCGAATTAAACGTGCAAGTGAACTCTGCTTACTGATATTGCAACCAATATTTTCATAAATATCAATAGGGATCTTAAAGTGCGAATGAGTTGTTCGCCCTCCAGAAAGAATAGAAGCTGCAACACCAGAACTCACAATTGCTAGTGCTACAAATCCCTTAGATCTTACAGTAACCAACAAACTTCGATATAAAAAAGTTTTACTAGTTCATCCTGGCCCGTCAATAAAAAAGCTCCTGATTTGTTGGAAAATATTCTATCAACAATCATATTGTATGCTCTTCGTTGATCTGTATTTAGTTTTTTTTTTTCTAATAACAAATCTTGTTCACAAACTCTTTAAGTTTCTCTCAAAATAAATTTCTTTTGCCTCTTTAGCAATTGCAGAAGCTCTAATGTTTTATCCAACAAGCTTATACTCGTTAATGTCGTATCCCATTAAGTGTAATTCTATCATTGATCTAGTTCAGGACTCTATGATAAACATCTTTAAATCCATTATTTGGCAAGAGTTTGAAGTCTTCTGACATTGAGTCTTCAAATTGTTCCCATAACTCTTTTGGATTGGTAGGAGTACAATATACCAATAGCGTAGCAAATAATCGTCTTAAACTATATGGCAATTGGTAGCTTGCAGCTTCAATCATACAGTCAACCAAACTATTGTCAGAATGTAATAATCCTCTTTTTCAACAGCTTCTCTAAATGTAATATAATATCTTCCATTTACAGTACGAAGATCTTCATATGATGTTGGTCCTCTCACATTCAGTAATAATAATCTGAGATAATATCTCTCACCTTCTGTTGGATGACATGTCACAACACGTTCAATAACGCTACGTTGTTTTCTACGTGTCCACGTCTTGTCTGTAACTGACCAGACAAAGTATTCTGGAAAGTCTTTATACAATAGCTTAAGTTTTATATCATAATCATCTGTTTGGTTCATGACCAAAAATTCTGTCAACATTATTTTTCTAATCAGAGGATTTTTTAAAATTGCATTTATACTCTCAGTGCTTTTAAAAGAAATATATTGTTGTCCATCAAGGTGTAATTGAAGATGATAAGCACTTGGTGTCATCTCACTAATAGGAAAACCAAATAAACGCCATATAGCTTCGGGTGGAGATACCCATCTAGCAGATTGATATTCTTTTATTTCATCAATTTCTGTGTCTTTATCATTGTCATATACAGAAAAAGAAATTTTGTCGTGTCCTTTACATATGTACTTGTAAAGATACTTGACAACTTTAATATCTGAGCATATTTCGATATTCATATGACAGCTAAACTTGCCAAGTAAAAAAGGATTATATGGTACCACCCATGAATTATCGAGGAATTGTTCTCTAATTTTTATTGCTTCACCTGTATGTCGTCTTCTGTAAATAGGATAAGAGTTTTTTCCTTTTGATGTTCGATCAGCAAAATCTTTAGGGTAATTGAATTTACAACATCCATTTTTCATGCATGAAATTGTAGGATTCAAAGAACCACAAGGACCGTGCATCATATGATGTACAACAAGTGAGTATAAATAAGGCTCTTTATCAGGATCAGGTAATTCAGCACAAACAATTCTGTCGTAAGATTTGGGTGTCAACAATTTGTATTCATTAGCAAGAATAATAAGGAAATGTGCATGTGGAAGACCACGTTTCTGGAATTCTACAGTGTACATAAAAGCAGCAACCTTTCCAAATATATTTCTTTTTAATATATCATTTTTTAGCTCTTCCAGTTTTGCTCTAAATACTCGACTAATTAAGTCAGGTCTATTTTGTGCTTCATCAGTAGATAACAAATGTTCTTTTATTTCTGGCCACAGTGGGTTGCATGTCATCGTTAGAAACAAGTCAGGTGTTCCAAAACGTTGTACCAAAGCAATAGCATCCATATATCGCCAGCGCATATCTCTTGGTCCCCCTGTAAATGTAACAGGAAGGAAAGTTTGTTTTCCAATTCTAGAAGCATCTCTTTCACCATGTCTTAAGACATCAAGAATACCCTGCAAAACTTCAATTCTAAACAAGTCTGGATTGAAAGAGAAGAAGTCTAGTTGTTGTGTTTCAAGTTTTATGAATACATCTACTAGATATTGTTGGAATATCCTTTCAGTATGTATTTGAATTTTATAACAATAATATTCACGACAAGAGACATTATTTCTTTTTTTTTTCCTTTGTTGTTCTAGTACCCGAGCTTCCATATCAAGAAAATTGTCAATTGAACACATGTTTGCAACACTTGGTAAATTTTCCTGTTCACAGTAGATACGACATCTAGTAGCATTCTTTGGTTGAACTATTTTCTTAATACCACAGTGCCACCCACCTTGACCATATGGAAATAATAGGGGATACTGCAGGGGATCATAACAACCATAGTAATAATTGACTAATTGGCTTTTATTGTTGTGAGTATAAATTCGGATGTGAAGTGTGGAAATATGAATGCCTTCTTCAACCATTATTACTGCAACTTCAGATGCAGTAGGTAGGTTATATACTTACTGATCTAAATCTGAGTCACATTTGAGCGCAATATAAAAGTTCGATAATTCTGGAACATCCGCCAAAGATTTCAAGAAAACACAATATGGATTATTTTGTAGTATATTCATCAATTTTCTGATCATCGACTCATGTACTCTAGTTGAACAAGCAATTCTGTTTGCTACCTCATTTTCATTGTCATAGAAGTATAACTGTAAATTTCTTCCTTTCTCGTTCGCAGGATATAAATCATCTATAAAGTGATACATTTTTCCTTGAACTCTAAATGTGTAGATACCATGATTTCTCTTAGCTAAGTCTCTGTCATATTTTACCCCGAGCGAAGTAAATGCAAACATGTTATTGTATGTCCTAACATACGTTCGGAAATGGTCAGACTCTTCACTAGTACCCAAAAATAAATTCCGTAGCTCTGTAGGCATTTTGTGTGAGGTAAGCTTGATTGAACCTTTATTGCAACAGAATCCAAGGTGTTCATATTGAAATCTTTTTGCGGCACAAAATTTACAGTTTGGGACAACTTTGAGAGCAACATATTTGGTTTGTGAACCAGTAACATGCAGAGGGGATCTTCTATGTAGTCTAACGCCTGAATATTACGGAAATGATTAGAAGTCAATTTCCACTCCAAAGGAAGATAACGAATACTATTCTAACTTGAAACTGATACAAACCTCTATTTGCTACATTCTCTGAACCAACACCACATTGTTCATTAGATGTACCTGATGTGGATCCTAATATAGAGCCAATTATGAATTACATAGGCAAATGGTTTATGGCAGTATAAATTTTATTAAAATAATATGTTTCTTATACTCATCTGTTTCGAAGATGGAAAAACGACCAACTAAGCTTTTCCCTTTCGCAGAAGCAGCAAGTAAAGTACTAACTTCACATTTAGCAGCTAATAAAGAAGCGTGAAACACGTTTAGTTTAAACTGACTGCGTTTAAACAGAGAGCGAATGTTTAATTTGCTAACCTTGTTTTGAACTAAGAGCAGAATCTCTTATTATGAGAGCACTCTCCCTTTGAAGCTTCGAATTACTTAGAGTTGTTGAGTTGACTGAGTTATCCAGACTACGACTCTCTAGAAGGCGTTTTCTTGAATCGAATTCTTTCATACGCCGGTGTAACAATAATGCTTCCTTTCTATCCGCTGATATTTCCTTATATTTCTTACGGCGATTGAGTTTCATTTCAGCACTTCTATCTGCCAGGCGTGGACTTTTGTTCTGTTGTCCTGAACGTGATATAGATACACTGTTTTTATCCCCTGACATCTATACTCATGCAATGTAAGCAGTGTTAAAAAATAAACTACACCCTTTCTCCAAAAAGATATCAGCTGAAAGGCAAAATTGAATAATTTTGTGGGGAACTGATGTTTTCTACTAGCTTACCTTGTAAAACCAGAGTAGTTAGACAGAGTAGTCAGATGTTAATTCCGAAAACCTGCAAACAGTGTGCGTCACTCATTGAAGCAAAAATGGGCAAACCACATTTTCCGCAGAAAATCGAATGTCGGAATATTCATAAAAGCCTTCAAGTTAATGTCACTCCGCCCATTCGTTTCAGTAATTTAAGATGAGTTTGGTGGAAATCACTAATCAGCATCTAAAAGAATTTCTCCACTATAGAGTAATTAAATTAAAGTAATTATGGAAATTTGAAAAGTAAGCTGGAACATCAGTCCAAATGCATTGTATCACTTAATCAGAGGTTCTTACAAATTATTTTACCATTTTCCTTCTGCAATTTAGTCTTTCTTCATAATTTTTATCTTTATTTTTTCTCCTCCAACATTTTAATTCATAGTAGTTCAACGTAATTTCTTGCTAATTTTAGTTCAAAATTTGAGGAATGTCTAAATGCTTTGCCTCATATTTGATTACACCCCACTACAGGAGAAAAGCCTAATTCATTGAATAATTTTCTCAAACACCTACAGGCAGAGGCTAAACCAAAAACACAGAAGCTACGCACATAGAAAGAGGAGCACGGAGACAATGGAAATAATATAGTATAAGCTGATCTCACCCGGAAGTGATCAAACACAAATTAGTAGCAGCAAGAAAGCCGAAGAACAGAGCGAAACTAAACAGAAAGATAAACAGAGTATAAACTGATTGACAATTGTACGGGGAAGAAAAGTAAAATCTAATATTGCCCACCGTTTATCCAAAAGCGGAAACACCAGATGTCCTTCTCTCAGAAGCGTGAGTCAGCAGATCCGAGCAGGAGCAATTTGGTAAACCTGATTTTTAAGAATGAAACAGAAATCCAAAAGGCTGCGTACTTGGGAGCTGAATATTTCTGATTTTTTCGTGATTTGAAATCCACAAGAAAGCCTAGAGATAACTCGTCTTATAGAGTAAGAGAAAATGTGATATAAAATTACCAAGATACCCATTGAGCACAAGTTGACTTCGGAGACCTGNAACTTCAAAGTTATGAACGAATCATTTACACAAATTTGTACTTTCAAACAAACTACAATAAGACTTTCCACATTAAACATTCACATAAATTTATATTTTATTCTTTCATATATAACTTTCAGTCCACTTTAAGTAATTTTTTGGTCTTTTTTATGGTCCATAATATTTGATTTTTTTCAGATATCAAAAAGTAATTAACTTCTTCTTTTCAAAGTTGCCCTTGGAGTAAAGAGCCTAGGAGTAGTTTGTTATATTTTCAATGAGCAAATTAAGGTTAATATGATCAATTTTATTGTTAATTAATGCTAAAAGGTGAATTCCTTAATATGTGTGAAAATAGCCAAAAAATCACTTAAAGTGGACTAGAGAGAGTAATTATTTACTTAAAGTTTTACGTAATGCTATTAATATCATTTTGCATAGTTGTATACTACGTGACTCCTCCGGCACAAGTATAAACGTGCAACGCACGTGCCGAGAAACTAATTATATTAAAAACACGAAACCCTTATCGAAAATGTCGTTCGCCTTTTTTACCTTTTACAGCTTGTTTGGATGGTTGTTAAGCATTGTATTGTATTGTATTGTATTGTATTGTTATCCTAAAATAATATTTGTTTTGATTGTTCATTTAAAATTGATTGTATCGTATTGTTATATTTATTGTTCCGGGACAACCAAAAGCCTCATTTTATGAAACAACTGATTTGGTGTGGTGGGATTGTTTTTTATTTTTTTTTTCAATTATGCCCTTACTTATTACTCCATAATTCTTTTTTGTCCTTTACCTTTTTCCATTTTAACTCTAAATCTCTAATCTATTGACATACTTTGTCTTCGTCCATCTTTTTCAGAGTTGGTTGTCGTTCTTTTCATCCAAATCTCCGTTCGTTTCTTTGTCTCTTTTCATCATTTTAGATTTTTATTTTGTTGCTAATGATAGTTAACATTTTTCTCCAGGTTTTTGCTCTTGTTTCTAAGTAACATAATTGGTGATAAATTAGTAGAAAAAGGTTTTCTTAAATTATTTTTATGTGTAATTCTTAATAAATTTTATTTAAAATAATTGAGGATATTTTAGTAAATTTATCAGCTACAGTACAGTACGATACGATCAAACCAAATAATAAAAATATTATTTAATAATAGCAAACAATACAATCTATCCAAATGTTGTATCCTTAAAATAATACAGTAGAATACAATACATTATAAAATAATGGATAACAATGATCCAAACATAATATTAAAAATAAATTTCGCATAGGATAAAATTATAATTTAAGTTACTTTCCTAATATTTAGGACTTTAAAAATCACTAAAATTTTAGTTATTCGATTATTCCTTATTTGAACTGTGTATGAAATCCTAGTACGTAGGATTTAACAAGAATACGATAATAAGAAAAAGAAAGCATGTAAAAGATTCTCCAACAAAATAAACAATCCGATTACGCAGCTTATTGTCTTCCATAAAAATTTTAGTTCCCGACAAGGATGGTTTTTTGAAATCAATTTGACTTTCAATTTATAGATTTTTTTAGTATTGAATAATAGTATAAATAGAAATAGATAATAGACAACACTTCCATATAATACTTGAATCCCCTTCATATTCAAATAATATTTTATCTTTATTGATTCTTAGTGTAATATTTAAAAATTACACTCAAATATTAGAACAAATAATTAACTATTTTTTCTTTATCAATTTTTGTGTAATATTTTGAAAGAATCAGATAAAAAAAACTAAGAAAATATTTAAAAATTTAAAAGAATATTTACATTAAACAAAATTGAAGGATAGCAATCATGCGATAAAATGTGGGATTATTTAATTTCATGTTTGGATAGATTTGTTTTTTTGGTATAAACAATTACAAGAATAGTTATACCACAATCTTAATTAGTTTCTAGCTTTATTCTACATTCAATGTGAGATAATAATTTGGGGATTAGCTATCCCAGGACAAAATAATCAAATATCAAAATATCCTTCTCCAAAACACTTATTCCAAAAAACAATTAAGAAGACCAAGGTTAAAGTTAAAAATAAAATTTTATCCAATTTTATATATGAAAAATCAAACACATTTTTTATATTATACTCCATACATTCTATTTTTCATTCAATAAATCAAATATTTATCAATCCAAAGTATATCTAATAAATATTTTTGTTATTACTTGATTTTCGTATTATAACTTTTGCTTTATAATCCCACTACAGTTTTTTGTGAATTAAAAGACCCCTTAGGCTACATAAAGGAGAAGATTGGCGCTAAAAAAAAAAAAAAAAAAAAAATTAGACAATAGAGAAAATTTAATTACAGTATAACACTTAAAGTCAAATTGGTAAAAATTCCAACTTGAAATAATAATAAGGATAAGACAACAGTAGAGAATTTTTGTATTATAAACGAATTTATTAATTATTTTTTTAAAATTTATTCCAACAAATGACAACTCTGGATATTTTTTTATATATCTATAAGTTATTTATTTGTAAAATATTAACTCAATATTAATCGTTTTTAGATTTTACACTATAGTTATCAATTTACCTTGAGCTATAGGGACAACCTCTTCATTCCAAATCTCTAAAGAGAAACTGGGTGATTTAAGCTATTGTTATGAGAACATAAGAGTGGCATTTCACTGTTGATAATACGCGGACATAAAGATGGCATATCACTGTTGTTATGTGTGTTGGGGTATTGTCTAGGAGTAGAGATAAGGGAGGCTATTATAAGGAGAGATAAGGGTGGCTATAGGAATGATAAGGGTGGCTATTGGGGTGGCTATTGTTATGGAGTGATACGGGTGGCTATAGGAGAGATAAGGGTGGTTATTGTCAGTGATGATACGTGATGATGTGAGATTATTGTGTTGGTAATTTTTATGTGATGTTGTGATTTTTCTTGTGTTTATTTTTATCTCTTGTGCAACTTGGCTTGTTGTTTCGGTAAACTTGATAATAGTTTGATTCATGTTGAAATTGTGAGCATGTGGCTATTGCCGGACGGTTTATATTATTGGCACGTGAACTGTCTGTGCAGATGTGGTATTAAATATGGGCACGAGGTGCCAGAAAAATATGATGATTTTATTATTGGCACGTGAGTTGTCCGTGAGGTTGTGATAGAAATATGGGCATGGGTGCCGTAAAAATATGAAAGTGGGTTGAGACCCGTAATTTTTATGATTATGAAATGAGGTGTCACATGGTGACTTTTACTTGAAAGGAATTATATTCGAAAGATTTTACTTGAAAGGAATTATATTCGAAAGATTTTACTTGAAAGGAATTATATTCGAAAGATTTTATTTGAAAGAATTATATTCGAAAGATATTTATTTGAAAGAATTATATCCGAAAGATACTTATTTGAAAGAATTATATTCGTAAGATATTTATTTGAAGGAAGTATATTCGAGATATATTTAATTGAAAGGATTACATTCTAAAGATTTTTATTTGAAAAACTTACAGATAAAATATGTATATTTTGAAGGACTTGATTAATTGGTTGTACTTGTGTTCATTATTCGTTTGAGCAATATTTATAGTGTTCTTGTTGCATTGTTGTTTATATCACTAGTTGATTATTGTTGCTATCACTGCTATTTGTTTTCTATTATTTTCGTATGCTATATTGCACATGTTATTAGACTAATGAGTGCCTTGACTGTACCTCGTCGTTACTCCCACCGAGGTTAGTCTTGATACTTACTGGGTACCGACTGTGGTGTACTCATACTACACTTCTGTATATTTTTGTGCAGAGTCAGGTACTGGAGATATTGGACTCAAGCAGAGTTAGTGTGTTGATCGCAAGGATTCAAGGTAGAACTGCTTAGTCGTCGCAGTCCCTTGGAATCTTCCCATATTATTGTACTATTAATTATTATTATTAGAAAAATATTGTATATTTGATCCTTGAGATCATTTTATATATTCAGTTAGAGTTCGTGACTCAGTATTACCATTCTTGGGAGGTTGTTATAATTATTTTCGTTGTTGGTTTCGATTATCTATATAAAAATGGCTTGAATTGTTATTAAAATCGACTTACCTAGTTTTAGAGATTAAGTGTCATCACGATGCCTGTGATGGAATTTTAGGTCGTGACACGAACTAGTTTAGTAGAGTCTTGCGGATCGGTACGGAGACGTCTGTACTTATCTTCGAGAGGCTACAGAACTGTTAGGAAATTTTCACTTCTTTAATTCATGTTATGCGGAGTTTGTTGATTTTGGAATTTAAGCCTTTGTATCTCTATTCTCTCACAGATGGTGAGGACACATGCTACCGGGTCAGCTGAGCAGACACCCGCACATGATGCTAGGTCCGCGAGAGGCCGGGGCCGGAGTAGAGGCCGAGGAAGGGCACATACCGCAGCTAGAGCACCTAGCACCTATCAGAGCAGCAGTTGAGGAGCCACCAATAGCTCGAGTTCGGAGACAAGCACCAGAGACACTTGTTGTTACCCCCGAACTTCAGGAGACTTTAGCACAATTCCTAAATATGTTTGGTACATTAAGTCATACGGGATTGATCTTCGTTTCACCAAATATTTCACAGATAGGGGGAGGCGCTCAGACTCTTACCGCCCGTACTCCAGAGCAATATGTTCATATTGGTCAGGTTCCGGGTCTGGAGCCGGTACAACATGTTATTCCGGTTCAGCCTGAGGTCAGGCCAAAGGCATCAGAAGAGAACAAAAGAGACTTGAGAGGTTTAAGAGGTATAACCCACCTACTTTCAGTGGCACAACTACAGAGGATGCCCAGAAATTTCTAGAAAAGTGTCACTGTATTATCCGCACCATAGGTATTGTGGAAGTGAGTGGAGTTGCCTTTACTACATTTCAGCTGTCATGAGCAGCA